TTCGAAGGTTTTAACCACATCTTGTGGTCCTGAAAGTTAATGCTGGTTCTGATAGAAAGGTGTCAGAACAGACCAGTCAGGGTGCCCAGGTGGTCATAATGTTATGGCTGATCGGTGTAGCTCTACTAAGCTTTCTATCCCTGACTGGCTGACCATCTTAACCTCCTCCCCGTTTTCAAAGCCTCCTGCCAAAATAATAGTCTTCTCTGTTGTTCCCACTGCACTTGAGGTATTTTCTGTGGTCGATGGCTGCGTCAACAATCCCACGTTCAGATGCACTGGAGAGACCATTAGGGATGTAGACACTTTCTGGCACATATTTACTGCATTAAAGACAAGAGCGCTGATCACTGCTAACATAGAACTGACATTCTTGTTCAACATTCTCCATACTCATCTCAATGCATGACCAATGGACATATTCTCAGAGTAGCCTACACCAAGTCTGTTTTTCCAGCACATTCAAAATTGCCACTGTAATGCTGAAGGAACTTCTCTTTCAACTTAATGGAGTTGTTCATGGCTGTGCCCACCACAAAGGAGTAGGGGTCAGTTGCAGGGAGGTTTGAGGAGTGGTGGAATTTTCCTCTCTGCTGCTCTTAACTAGAAACATGTTGTTCGGAAGCGTCTGCTAACTCAGGATCCCAGTTCTACAGCTCTCTCTCTCTTTAGTTCTCTCTTTTTTTTTGAAGAACCAGTGATGGTGGAATTTTGGCCAATGTTCTCCAGTGCAAATGTTGTGACTGGAAGCATGACCAGTTTTAGTAGCTAACCAAGCAAAAAAAAAACAGTCGTACACTGTATACACAATCAAATAAACCTGATACTGCCATGAACTTAAAAAACAAAACAGTCGTGCGATATATATGTTTGTTTGTTTTTTTAAAATACATATGTCATACACACTCCCTTTTTAAGAGTATTAAACATATTCATTGCACATGCCAGACACATGCAGTACTATGGTCAATCTCAGTGTTTTACTATTATATATGATAACAATTGTAATTTGTAAAGTAACTAGTAACTAAACCTGTCAGAGAGTTGTGGAATATAAAGTACATTTCCTACTGTAATATAGTGAAGTAGAAGTATGAAGCAGCAAAATACAGAAATACTCAAACAAAGCATGAGGACCAGGAATTTGTACTTAAGTACAACCAGATTCCAAAAATATAGGGATTGGAATTGAGAACTGGCTCCAGTTGACATCCGGTTCCAAATTGTCCGATCGATCAGAATTGTATGTCACTGTGTTCAGACTCTAATAATAAATAATAAAACAGTTGTGCTGATGCTGCAAACCTGAGCAGGCTTATTTTTCTCCCCACAGAAAATCAATCAGGAATCAATAAGAGAATTGACAAGGAATAGGAGCGTTAAGCACAATAAATAGTGGTATGGGTATCAATAAAACCGTATAAATTCCCATCCATTCAAAAATAATTGGTGCTGCTGTGGAAAATATAAATAAAGACAGAATACATCACATTCATAGTATATTATTTAATAAACCTGGAAAGGATCCTAATAATGTTGGACACTATAGACCCATTGCCCTAACATCCCACCTATGTAAGTGAATGAAGAAGATATAAGTTAGAATTACTTCCTTGAACACACAGGGTTATTGGCAACATACCAAAGTAGTTTCAGAAAGGGCCGTTCTACAATGGATGCTGTTGTAAAAGTAAGCAATGAGATAGACAAAACGTTTAAAATTAAAGAATTAATAAAAATTGTGTTCTTTGATATTGAAATGGCTTAGGCCATGTGGAGGGAAGGGTTATTAATTACATTGAATAAGATAGGAATTAGAGGTAAGTTATATAATTGCGTCTTAGATTTTCTATCAGAAAGACAATTTACAGTTAAAGTGGGATAAAAATGTCTGAGGAGTCTAAAGTTCCTAATGGAATTCCACAAGTAAGTGTTATTAGTCCAGTTTTATCTAATGTTATGATTCACGATATTTTTATGAATCTGGACAGAAGGACTGGCTCAGCTCTGTATGCAGATGATGGGGCCATCTAGGCAAGAGGACAATAAGAAGCAATACTCTCCAAGTAAGTTTTGTCATGTTATTTACCAGGAAGAATGGTAAATGGACCTGTACTTGTTTAGCGCCTTTCTAGTCTTCCAATCACTCAAAGCGCTTTTACACTACATGCCCTTTCACACACATTCACACAGTGAAGGCAAAGAACAGAAAAGAAACTAACTCATTCACATTCATACACCAATGCACAACATCGGGAGTAATTTAGGGTTCAGTATCTTGCTCAAGAATACTTCAACATACGGCAGGGAGGAGCCAGGGATCAAACCAACAACCTTTCAATTAGTGAATGACCCGCTCTCCCTTTGAGCTACAGCCACCCCAAGAAAAGGATAGACAAACAGAACCTGAAGTTATATGGCCACAATATGGAAAAAGTAGGTAATCCTAAATATCTGGGTATTAGACTAAAAGGGTATGTAGAAAAGGTGGAATCAATGCAATGAGATCAACACCAACAAAGGCAATTCAGGTTGAGTTAGGAGAAGAGCCCTCAGACCTAAGAAGAGATAAACTCATACTTACATACTGGAGTCATCTATGTGGCTGTGGTAATGAAAACCCTGCCAATAGTGTAATTAAGGAATAGTATATATATATAATTATTTTCAATTATTTTCAAGGTAATGGTTTTGGCTGGGTAACAAAGGCTAAATCAGAGTTAGAGAATATCTGTTTTAACTCCCCTACTCCTATGAGAAATATCTCTATTTGTTTCCAAAATCTGAGCTAGATTTAAATATAATGTAATTAAAAAGAGAATGGGAAGAGAGTGGGAAAGGACACCTGGCAAGTCAGTACATAAGAAGCAAATATTACAGTTATTTTGATATTTATACAGACAGGTCTAAAGATGAAGAAGATAGGGTAGGCATAGGGCCATACACCAATTAGCCATTACATTATGACCCGCTGGGTAACCTGGTGGTCATAATGTATTATGCATTATTTAATGATGATACTCTTACTTGTAAAAAGTACATTATCTGTACTAGATACTCTTTCAGCTGAGTACCTGCTAAATATACACCAATTAGCAATAACATTCTAACAACCTGGGCATCCTGGTGGTCA